ATCCTAGAAATTATTAAATATCGTCTGAAACATCTGAATATCGTATTAAATATATGGCTATCGTCTGAAGAATGAGCTATAAGTGTGATTAAATCTGTTTATCCGAATAAGAACTCCAGTTATTCGAACGGAAAGTTAAAAGCAGTGGGGATAATCGATGGATTCCTACTGTATGAACCTGCCCGGTTGTGTGAACTGCTAGTCCCCCGTTGAGTGCACATAAATGGAGTCCTACTGTATGATTAGACACTGAACTATACAGGGTGTTCGGCCAACCTTGGAAAAAATTGGAATGGGAGATTGTAGAGGCCAAAATAAGACGAAAATCAAAGATATTAATTTGTTAATCGGGGCTTCGTTAAAAAATTTCAAATCATTCACGGAAAAATTATTTTCGGTTGTGGGGGTCAATTACAATCATTTTTGGTGAATAGACATACCCCCGAATTCCTACGCACTTTCGAGAAAAAAATATTTAAATATCTTAAAAGAAAATTTGAAGAAAAGTGCAGAAAAATTAAAGTTACCGGCAAACCTTCATTTCCAGCAAAATAATGCACCTGCACATATGGCATATTATACAGTTTGTCAATGGATTGTTTACAACACAGCACACACTTTAAGAACACCTTCCCAAAAAGTGTCCGTAAACACCACATTTCGAATAAATCGGAATTAAAACAAATAATCTCAGCAGAATGGTTTAAAATCAGCAGTGATTTAACAAAGAAGTTGTTCCATTCTATGTCAAATAGATTAAAAGAAATAGTGAAACAAAGAGGACATGTTAAAAAATGTTAAATTATAATTTAATGCGATGTTATATAAAATGTGCCAATACTTTTGTCCATGTATCAGATGATAATAGAACAGATTTTCTTTAATTATGTGTTCTCTATTTTATTAATTTTGTTTTGCCTTTGTGTATAGATAAATGAGATATTATAAGTAAAGATACGTACAAAAAAGAAGCGATACAAACAATTTCTTCAATAGTTCTTAACATTTTACTTATGTCCACCACTGTTGGTGTAGAGGTTATGGAACACTGTCCTCCTAGCATCAATTTCGACGATGTCAAACAATTTTTTCACACAGTCCTGCTAAAACAAACGGCTCGTTAACTGGCCCGATCGTAGAATCGAGAATCAATCACCGATTCAGCCGGTCGCGAATCGTTCTGGTAACTGTATGATAAATGAGGAATTGCGCAAACAATCAGGTCGATGGTACCGTACGTGTCTTGATCGGTCCCCCAGAGGCGCAGGTTAAGGCGCAAGCGCGAGCGCAGGCGCAGGCGCAGGCGGTCCGATGAAAAGACAAGAGCCGGGAAGAGGAAGAGCCGTGTGCGCTTGCATCTGAATATATCCGTACGGTCGAAGGGGATGCATGTATTTAACGTTCGGTGTGAGTTCCGAGTTGCGAAGGCTTCAATCAACGTGCCGTCGCTCGGGGCCTATCCGATATCAGACATTAGGTACCCACGGCTCCAGCTACGTATTTCAACTCTTTCACGTACCGACGCGACGCGACGCGACGCCCACGAGAACCCGGCTGCGGATCCTATCTCGCCACGATACCCCAACTTCTTAGGCTCTCTTCTCTCAAGAGAAGAGGCTACGGTTACACTCGATGCGTTTTCGTCGCAATTTTTAGTTTTGACGAACACGTGAAAGACCATGCGCGTGCTGACGGGCTCGACGCGCTTGTTTAACGCGTTTACTGCCAGTCCAAAACCGTAAAATTATTTACAAGACCAAAACTTTACTTACTTTCATAACCTCGCGAAAATTTATGGAGCTTATTCAAATTTATTTTCTTTAACATTTCAACTTGAGAATTAATTGCTTTAGTTCCACTGTCACCCGTATATGTATAGGTGAGGTGGCAGTCAAAGTGTTAAACGGCGGTTACAGCGGATACAAATAATTGCAATTTATTTGCGAAATAAATATACAATACCGAACGGAAACAGGACACTCGACGCTCGCAATATTTGAAATACTGTAACTTCGTAAAAAATAATTGTACGACAGCCTTTGCGGGGTCATTTTAATGATTGGATTCTGTACTTTCGCACCCTTGAATTCGATTTTCTCGAATGTCCTTTTTACACTTGGAGGAACGTGATAAAATGAAACTGATGTTTTTAACAGATATGACTCTGAAATTCAAACTGTTCCCAAATTAAAAATAGAATGAATTTTAAGCTTCCCCTTTTCAAAAGCCTCTCTAAAACTTAGTATACGATTAATATTTCAAGCTGCTCTTTAAGAGCATTTGAATTTTTAAACAACATTTCCTTAATTTATTGTTACGAGAAAATTATCTGTTAGAAAGTATATATAACATGACTGATTCGTTATGAAAAACATTGTGCATACGAAGAAACCTGAACACAAGAATATACTTAAACGTAATAAAAATCGTATAACTGTTCTTTTGTGTTCGAATACATCCTAAAATCATAAATTGCCGATTTTATTGATCGATAAAAGTAAAAACGTTGATTCAGCAACAAAAACTTGCCAATAATAAATTTGAATAAAAGAGCTTGAATGTACTTAAACGCGTTTCTTAAATGGTTCAAAAATGTGTTTATATCAAATATTGAACACTTAAATGTAATTACAAAATGAAAGGATAAAAAACAGTCTGTTATTATTCGATAACGCAACGTATCATTAAACGAAGACGATGAATTTATTAAAGTAATCTTTTTACCACCCAATGTCACTTCATCGATACAACCAATGGACCTAGGTGTCATTGAATGCTTTAAACGATTTTATAATAAGCATTTATTGTAAAAATTTATGTTAAGAGACGACAATAATGAAGGTTTCCTGGATACATATAAAAATTCAATTTGAAGAATGGAATCAATTGTTGTTAAGAACAGAAGTGTACCAACGATCAGAGAACGATTTAACGAAGGCAATTTATTATAAATTCGCTGTCGACATTCTTGTCGACTCCATAACACAATCAATGGAGTTTTCTAATAATCCACGTAAAAAAAAATCAATTTTTTTGGCATCTTTCTAAAATTTCGGGCCTCGAAAATATGTCTATAAAGTCATTTCACGGAATCCGTAAAAGTAACGTAAAAATAATGATACCAGAACCTCTAAACGCGTTTTTCACGAAATTATATTTTCGAGACTGACTAATACGCTATCATAAGTTCTAATTGACCGATTGACTTGATAATAAATCTTCAGGAAATCTTTACGGTCGAAATTAGGGATATTAAGATCTGTTATTTTAGTTTTTTTAATCTGAAAGATGAAAAAACGAGAAAAAATTGATATGTATACTGAATATCATGTACTTTCGATCACTTCTGTAAGTAATATTTTCTCGCATTGTTTGGAGTGATCAAGATATTTAAGTGGACAGAGTTCACGACACAACACACTACATGTTCATAATTTATGGTTTACGTATTCCTTATATTTTTGCATATCAAGTTCATTCTGTAGTTTCTTGAAAATTAAAATTTATCATAAATGAATAAACATCCGCGCTATTACAGAACGAATACTCTTTAGACACTTGTATGTTCGCTAGCTCTTGGTTTAAAGGAAACATTAAAAATCTGGGGGTGTCTTATAGGTTTGTCGCTATGTGTATTCGAAATTATTTATTTCAGCATAAACTGAACAGTACAATCGTATTTTACACGTTAGAAAACTCACAAATGAACGCGTTATTCCCCTCATCAGCACTGCTACAACCTTCTTGGGTCCACCCTCGACGTACAATTTCATTCAACACTTTCTTCATTTCGAAATATAGCTCGTTAAAAAATACACAGACGTAATTTCCTTTCTTCTCTAAAGTCGAGTGCTCCGAAATTGAGAAGGAAAAATTCGAATATGGAGCAAAATGGAGCACCTTAAATGTCCATAGAAGTTGATTTTCTTTTGCCCCAACGTGAGATAATTTAATAAACACAGTGTCTCGTCACTGCAACTTAAGATAAACGATTTATCGAAACGCCAAAATACGTACTGCGCGTACAAGTCGTAAACAAAGCTCGAATCATAATATTGACGATTTCAGATCAAACTTTTTGAAACTTATTCAAACGAGAACTGATGCGTTGTCGCGTCTATTCTTTATCTCGTAATGGTTTGGGGGAGGTTTAGAACTGGTACCAAGGATTAGACGAAAATTGCAACATTACGGAAAAACAGACGTACTCGGATCTATTAGAAATATCTTGGATCGCGAAGGGTTAAGTGCTCTTTATCGATGATACGTTGAAGAACGTTCAGGGGGCTAGTAATTCTGGGTGTTTACTCGTCGGTGTGGATCGGCCAGAGGGTAAATTACATGCTTCTGATCTCTGGATTATGGTGATATACAGTCGCGTCGGTATTTAAATTGACACACTTGTGTTTCGCCAATTGAACTTCCCTTTAGTATTATGATAATACTAGTTTTTTACCTTCTGTAAGTTATTTATATTTGCAAAAGCGTGCATTCAATTAGCAACGTATTTCTAAAAGTATTGCCAATATTTGTCTAGTCGGAAAGTAGTTTAACTTGAACAAATTCTGATTTTGTAAACTAATTTTGTAAAACTTACATCTAGTTTCTTATCAACGTGTATTTAGACACTCTTTCCAGCTTCGTAACGATGTTACTGAGAATTCTTTGTCGTTTACCGAGAATCTAAGAATTAATCGTGACAAGAGAAAAGCAAGTAATTGAATTAAAAATGGAGCGGCAATTTAAGCCATCGAAGGAAGACAACTTATTACTATTTGAATATAAGACGAAATCGTTGACTATATTAATCAGAACTCGAATAAATATATTTCTGTTAACGTTTGGCTCTCTGGTAATTTTTCTTCGATCTTTCGGGAGATCGATCGAGGTACAGCGGCGTCGTTACGCGAAACACCGAATTTCCTCAAAGCAAACCCTCTAAACTAATCTCTGAACTTGGACTAATTTCACCGGTAAAAAGTAGAGAAGTCGTGGCTTACCTTGGAAAGGATATCCAGTGAAGTACGGTGCCATGTTCAGGGTGCTGACTGCCATCTAATTAAGCGCTTTTGTCCGCGGCAGTCTTCGATCACCGAGCTACCACAATGGAAACAAGAGGGCGGAAACAAAGAGACGAGTCGTTCTTTGTTCGATGGTTACGGTGATTGGGGCCCGGATCACTTAACCGAGCGCAACAAGTCGCGGATTCGCTCGGTACTGGCGAACGCGTCGGAACGGAAACGAGCTCACGAGAATTGGTCCCGAAGCGACACGGAAACGGTCGAACGAGTCGCGGTGGACGATCCAGGCTCAGCCGAAACGTGAGAAACGGAGCATCGGCCCCTGTTTTTTTTGCCCCCTGAACGCAAACTGGACGGAACGATCGAACGGACGTGAGACGTGGAGACCTGTTTGCTTCGGGGTCTCGGCTCGAACTGTTCGGTTCCCGAAACGGACGGGTATTAGCAGGAAGGGAACACCCGTAGGAAAAAGAAAGGAGAAGAAAGGCAGGTACCTGAAAGGAAAGAAGGCTCCGCCTTCGTTACGGGGACCTGTCGAGGAGGGAATATCTGGGCTCAAAAGTATTCTTGATGGCTCTAGTCGAGCGGTGCATTGGTTACGACGAAGGTGGTCCCCTGGAGGCGGAGGTGGTCTTTTCCCTGACTCCGCCCGAGCCGGTCAACTCCTTTACGTTGCAACCGCAGCCCCGGGGCGCCGCTCTTTACCCTCCCCCCCCCCCCATTTCCCTGCGTTTCACTTTCCCGGCTACCACGCTAAATACTAATACACCATGGCAATCAGCGAGATAAGAGCTTGACCAAACTGGAATATTTCAAGAAATTTCCTATTTAAACCGAAATAACATAGAATTTTGTTTTCGGACTAAATGATAAGACGCTACGCTGCGGAGCATAACTACAGCACCGCTGAAAATGAGACGAGTACTTTTTGAAGACGCGACTGTGTTTTCTCTTCAATAATTAAATACATTTTTTTTTCTATTGTTTATTTGCATAAATATAAAATTATCGCGAAGTTAGCCGGAGTTTACCCAATTGTTACTTTACTTAAATCTACTTATTTAGTAATTACTCTGTAGTGTCACCGATTTTTATTTTCTTTCGTCCAAACGATTATTGAAATGTCACTAAAACATGTATAAGTAAGGGGTTGAGACAACTCTCTGTAAAGCTTCGACTTCGTTAATTCTGTTAATGGAAATATAGACACGCGTAAAGATTTTTTTCCTCTATTATTTGTTTGCATAAATGTTTGACCTAACATTATTACTTGTCCACGGTGCAGTTAAATAATACGATGTAGCAATAATAATTGATACAATTTACCCAATTGTCACTTTACGAATCTATTTTTTTAATAATCACTATGTTTGACTATACTTGAATATGTTTGAAAGTATGGAGTATCATCAATTTTAGTTTTCTTTCGTTCAAAACAATTTAAAATATCACTGAAACATGTATATATAAATCTTGTAAATCTGACTGCAAAAGGTGTTACAGTTCTTCGTTGCTAATAATCCTGTAGAGGGTTACACAGCATTCAATAAAAAAAAAGGGTGTTACAGTTTATTTACGCGAAATTGCACCACTGAAATTTTTCAGATTTTTATGATTTAAAAGCAAAATTCGAAAAAAGTAATTTTACAACATAAAGAAGCATTAAAGAACTTTAGTCGAAGCATATACAAGTGGATTGCATATGTATGGAGATAAAATCGAATGTTGACTATGTTGAGGGTTTACAGTGCCAGCAATTTTAACTTTCTTTCGTTCAAAACATTTTAAAATATCACTGAAACATGTAAACCTTATAAATTTTACTGTAAAAGGTGTCATAGTTTGCAAGAAATTTACGAAAAAAGTATTAAAAAACACATTTGACGCTAGGAGATCCCCTCAAATTGGCGACTCGAAATTCGTGCGCTAGAAACAACGAAACGGAAGTTTCTACGAAATTAAAACGCAAGGAAGATGAAACGAAAACTTATAAAAAATGATACTGTAATAAGTACTATTTATTAAATTTTCTAACGCGTCTGAATTAATTTCTATCCATTTCTCAATGCTTTAAAAACTGTAATTTTGCCCAAAGATGCTCTATCAAGTTCAAGATGTGTTATTATCTTGCCAAAATTTTGTAACAATTTTCGTAATATGCTTTGGGTTGTTATCACGTTGGAAATCAAACGTTCTATTATTTCAAAATTGTTCAATGGTTGGAAACAAATTATCCTTTAACGGGTCTATGTATTTGATTGCAGTCAATTTTCCTTCGGTAATTGATAAATTTCTCGTATGGTTGTTACTAAAACAACTGTATGTATATCATAATACAACCACCGCCATGTTTGGCAGTAGGTGTTATAATTTACAATAAATAATTACAATAAATCTATATTATTTTTAGTCAAAAATACGTGTGGAGAAAAAAGAAAAATTAAAATAAAACAAAAATTTGTAACCATGTGAGAAATGTATCGATCGAAAAGAAATCGACTGCAATCAAATACATAGAGTTGTTAAAAGATAATTTGTTTCCATCCACAGAACAATTTGTCTTCCAACATGACGGCCCAAAGCGTATTACGAAAATTGTTACTTCATCTTTCGGATGACTCGAACGTGATTTTATTCATAATTAACGAACTAGCACTGAAACGATGGCCAATTGATACTTTTAGTATTAATTAAGTATAATTTAATTTTATTTTTTGTTTAAGTGTTGTTACATACGTTCAATACACATTTTTATTACAATGGTTCCTGGAAACAAATTTGAAAAAAAGGTCTTGATTCGCACAAAAGAGTTAATTGGGCGTACGAAATCTGTATATTAGCAAAATAATTCTAGTAAAAATTGTTTAGATCCTATAATAGATTCGCGACGGTCGTGAAACGCGACTACATAGTTACGAAAGAAAGGAGATGGAAACGAGTACCGTAAATTAACTAGCAATCGTTAATATAAATAGCAACGAGATTAATAGATAGTGATATACGATGCGTTTAAAACGACTTAGTTCCACGCCTATCCTGCCGTTGATCTCATTTGTATTAATATCAGAAAAGGAGAAATTCTAATTATAGTTTTAAATTCGTCTTTATTTTCTTAATTAAATGTAACGACAGTAAAATCGATGTATTAACAACTTGTAATCAATGAAAATGGGTAATTCCTGCGGCCGTAAATCAAAAAATGACGCCCGAGGCCAATGATCGATCTTAGAATGAATATTATCGATACTTCCGACCAACGATCGTTCTATACAAAGTTACCACAATGTAACCTGAAAAATGGTGAATGTGCGCGAAAAAAATAAATCTTTCTGTTTTAACACTACATTTCCAATGTACTTGTCTCAGTTTTACTTACAATTTTAATACCACAATATTTGCAACGTACATGTATCAGTTTTTAACCTCGATCGTGAAAATGGCACAAGAGAATTTCAGTGAAAAACGTAAACGAAGACAAACGTTTGAAAAAAAGAGTGCTTTATTATGAATTTCCAAACATGTATGAGTAGGTATTATAACGCTTTAACCTATTAAAATTTAACTTCATTCACAGTTTCCTTAACCTAAAAAATTTTGCCACTCGTGTCACTTTTAATTATATTATTGAAGTATGAAAATGATACTATTTAATCGTAACAACTAATCAAACTGAAGACACATCCACTATACAATAGTTAACCTAACCTTGTACCACCAGATTATCATTCGTTTCGTTCTACGTAAAACTCTTTTAATGGTAAAAATTTTAATAAAAATGGTGATATCAAATCGTACTTGATTCCATTTTGTAAAAACTAGAACTTTTATAAACGTGAAATTATGATGTTGAAATATGGCAAAAGGTCATTGGTCATTTTATTCTCTTTATATAAAAGTTGCATGATTTAAAGGAGCACATTATACATATATTGCATGTATTTTTTATGGGCAGATTCATTTCGAAAGGCAATTATTTTTTTTTAACAGAAAGCTATATTTTTTTTATGATAATATAAAAGAACTCTGACCAACAAAATTACGTACTTAAAAACGAGAGAACGAATATGATTTGCAAAAGTATGAATTTGGAGTGTAAACCCTGTAAAACAAATTTCATCCAGAATGTATCATTTTTAGAATTATTCGGTGAAAATTTCGTTACGATTTATAAAATTGACTAACACGTTTAAAATAACGAACGTTCGATAATTGTGGTGCTCGTTAAATTATTAAGATATTTATTTAATTGTTTGAGAAACCTCGCGTTGAACATTCTTCACGATGCGTCTGTTCTTTTTCTATGACTGTGCGGTTCATTTATCTTCTCGACAAGCTTAACAAATGTATAATTACTACGCATACGCGAAAAGTAACATGCCCGATGTAATCACACAATAGCATATAATTATTGTGTGTTCAATACATTTGAAAACGAACGTAAAAATAAACTGCACCGAACGACTTTAATTATTCCATGGTATTCACTTTAAAAGTAAATTGCACAAATTTCATCTATATGCCCAGCACAGAAATATCGTTTACACGGATACGCCATGCAGGGTGTACTGTGCTAACTCTGCCAAACGAGAACTTAATTTAAAGGCCAAACGGGGAAAACAGGTGTTAAATAAAGTTTGCGAGTAAACGCTTTGTTTAAATGTTTGAAAGAAATATTGTATGAATAGAACAAGTAACACATTCTCCGTCACTTAGAAGCTCGATTTTTTTTATTTAGTCTACATAGTTGCATATTTTCTATCGTCTGAAAAAAAGCAAACTATATTCTATATAATTATACAATCTCGTTTCAAAATATCCTTCTACTTGGATATGCAAGCTTAACATCGATAAACAATTGAATTTGTTATTCTACAAAGTTCCTCGATATTTTGTTGAGGTTAACTCACTGCGTGTTTCGTTCGTCGTACGAAGTCGCTTCTGTTAAAACGCGCAGGAATCTATTATTTCCACGTCATCTATATGTATATGGGTGACAGGATTTACTAAAAAAATTTATTCTTAAGTTGTGACGTT